CGTAACTACGATGGTAGTCAAAGCGACCCACCAGGTGGCTCAGAGGTATAGCGCCCGCTAGAGTTACTGTATATGCTACCTAAAGTTACTGTATATGCTACCTAAAGGTAGCATATGTAGTAACTCTAGTGCCTACTACACTCCGGCGCGTGTAGACTTACATTATATGCTACCTTTAAATAGCATATACAGTAACTCTAGGTGCGTGATATGAGTGGAGTCCTCAAGTGGCGCTGCGCTGCTCTGTATTGTATATTAAAAGCGCTTACTCCTCCCCTCCTCTCTCTCTCTCTCACATCGCAGTACTAAAAATTAAGACATGAGCATGAGTGTGGTGAAAGCGGGGGCTCACAACGTGTCTCTGTGCGCAGCCATGAACGTCTACGTTGAATAATTAAGAGCATATTTTTACAGAACTTTAAGTCGACCCATGGTTGCTTCGCATACTACTCAGGGTTCACTTTACGGGGAGACGTGTGCAATTCTTTAGTTGCCCCGCCACGGTGGTCTAGTGGCTAAAGTACTCGGCTGCTGACCAGCAGGTCGCGGGATCAAATCCCGGCTGCGGCGGCTGCATTTTCGATGGAGGCGAAAACGCTGTAGGCCCGCGTGCTCATATTTGGTTGCACGTGAAAAAACCCTAGGTGGTCCAAATTTACAGAGCCCTACACTACGGCGTTTCTCATAATCACATGATGGCTTTGGGACGTTGAACACCACATATCAATCATTAGTTAGACAACTTTAGTGACAGCTAACAGGTAACAAGTCAAGGAAAGTTTAGGTGATGGTAATTGTAGCAATTCGACATAAATGTGAAGAAATTAAAGAGAACGAAAAGATAACTTGCCGACGAAAGATCGAAAGTGCAACTTCAGATTAGCACTTCCGATGCTCTCACCGATTGAGTTACGGCATCATTATTCTTGCCGTCAATTTACGGGGTATATCTGTGTATTTAAACCTAGGAGCGCTAATCAGCACCGTTTGCATTCATGACGGTGAACGTGAAACAGCTTTTCTCCCTGCTACCTTCTGCCTGATATTTCAATGCTGAAATTTTGGTCTGTCTGTTGGGTTATCCAGTATAATTATTCAGCTAGCCGGCGAAAATTTAAACCGTCGCGCAATGCCGTCTTGATCTTGATCTGGTAGCTGCGATCATACTTGTGGGCATTGTCAATCGAAAAGCGATAGCGCATATTTGAGACGCTACACGAGTGCGTAAGAATGACGTGGTGTTTTTATTCAGAAAAAATCATAGAGACGTGATTCTGCAGCGTCGTGTTTATTCCACTGCACCCACAATGAGGCACTATGAACAAAAAAAAAAAACGCGTTTCCTACACTACCCTCAACGGACCAGGTGCTGTCAACTACCAGTGGCTCTGCGTTCTAAATAAACGTTTCTTTCTACATATTACTGACAGATGGCGCCACATCTCACGCAGCGCCTCCTGGCAGAAAACTGTCGTCTTTCGACATTGTTTGCGGCGAAGCATACAGGTACGCAGCCATTTTTTTAACGGTCTGGCCGCTGACTAGCTTTGAGAACTACCCAAATGCACGAACGATGTCCACCAGAACGAGACCTTTGCTATGAACGAACAAAAGAAGAAGAATTTTGTGAGAGCTCGTTTTCCTTTCCTAGGCACACAACAAATGAGACCTATCATTGATTGATATGTGACGTTTAACGTCCCTAAACCACCATATGAGAGACGCCGTAGTGGAGGGCTCTGAAAAGTTCGACCACTCATGGGGTTCTTTAAAGTGCACCGAAATCTGAGCACACGGGCCTACCGCATTTTCACCCCCACCTGATATTGCAGACGCCGAAGTCGCCATTCGATCCCGCGACCTACGGATCAGTAGCCAAGTACTTAGCCATTAACCCACCGCAGCGGGGCTAATTAGACCTAACTGACAATCAAGACAAGGATGCCATAAGGAACGCTACTTGCAGTTATATCAAATGTGTAGGTGTGTAAGTTTCGCCCTCATTTTTTGTTGTTATTTTTACTAGTTGTCAGTTGTAGCTTGCTTTCGTGACATTTAGTGCAACAGACCAACACAAACGATACCGTGCCCTCGTGTATGCATACATGCGAATTGTTCGTAGTTTGCTACCTCATAAAGTTATGGTGGTATGAACCAGTGTTATCATACCCAATACAACCCCTGTGTGATGCACTTCACTTTTTACCTGTTCCATATAAGCATGAGGCTTGCGTTTTTGAATCTGAACTTATTCCATTTGTACTTGCTTACCTAAATTCATCAGAGAAGGCTTATCACCTTCCCGGAGTAGAGCATGCAGCCCGCTAAATCATTACCTATTTGTCCAATCACACACTTTCAGCAAGCGGCGTAATGAGATGAGACTTGAATGGTTTGGTGTTATGCCACTGAAAATGCCTGACACTGCTTTAAAAGCTTTCTTTTTTTTAATGCCAAGCATTTCGTTGCGTGCTGCAGGCACTTTGAGCATCTATCTATCTATCTATCTATCTATCTATCTATCTATCTATATCTATCTATCTATCTATCTATCTATCTATCTATCTATCTATCTATCTATCTATCTATCTATCTATCTATCTATCTATCTATCTATCTATCTATCTATCTATCTATCTATCTATCTATCTATCTATCTATCTAACCACCTGCTTCACTGGGCACAACATGAATAATGTCACCATCACGTCGCGTACGTCGTCTAACCCTTTCCGCCCAACGTGTGGCACATACCCATGAGCGGATATGTGCCACAAGTGATTGACAGTTTTTCTACCCAGGACCGGTCAGAACAGGCATGCGTAATAGTACCATGTGAAGGTTAAAGGCTGACGCCAGCAGCGTTGACCCGATGAATGCAAAGAATAAATGTCAGGGGCCTCGCAGAAATCAAACCCGAGTATTCTGCATGCCAGTCTAATATTCTACCACAGGCCAGAGCCACATCACGTTTCAGAACTACTTTACAAATAGACCTTAATGTTCGTGAAACGTCAATTGTGGTTGCTGTGCTAATTATTCAATTTTATAAACATTACATACGTACTTCGATGATAAAGCCGTCACTTCGGATTCACATCATTAGTAGTAAAGTGCTATTCACTGAAGTTGATTTATGCATCAGTGTCCAGGGCTACCATCTTCGCGAGCACAGGCCCTTCATATTAGCTTACTGCTTCCGGTGATGCTAATATTCGTGTTGCTGTTGGCATCGTTTCGCATCTGTAAACAACTTGTTATATAAGACATATGCTTCTATTCTACGGATGTCTGTGCGTGCATTTGTAAATATCTTAGCGCCACTTTGCAACAGGTTTCATTCAATAAAAACATTAGAACACAGTCCCCTTCTATCCCCATGCTTCGGATAACAGTGATTGCTAACGTAGGTGAGATCTGCCCAATTTTTTCTTCTTTCTCTCTTCTTTTTCTGGACAGTTCATTACATTTCGACTTCGAGTTTTCCAGAATGTACTGCAATGTTCAGTAACAAGGTAATCATGCTTAACAATTTTTCAGCATTATCCCGCTAGGAATGTAAAATTAACGAATAAACAAACGTTGAATGTGACAAACAGCTTTTTCCCGTCATTTTTTTCAACATCTGCATTGTCAGTGGCTTGTTTGCAAATACCAAGACGTTTTTATTTAATACGTGTCATCGACTAAACAGACCAAACCTGTTGGTTCGTTTGTGTGGTAATTATTGTAGTCCTGGGGTGACAAATTGAATATATATATATATATATATATATATATATATATATATATATATATATATATATATATATATATATATATATATATATATATATATATATATAACCTGCTCTTATTTAAAACTGTCAATAACATTATGAGTTCAGTTCTCTACTTTTACCGGAGTGTAAATCTAGACTCGTTTGCTTCGAAATGAGTGGCTACCGTTACTGACTGCTTGGTAATCAATCTCTTTTACTACACAACAAAACTTTTTTATAGTTGCGCTTTTAACAAATGCACGTCTCTTTTTATATTGCTTTGTTTCTTCATTCAATGCTACGAAGTCATTCATTGCTATTTCTGCTAAAGAATAGTGTCAACAACCCAAAGTCACTCAATCAAAAACAAGTTGGCTTTTTTGCACGCACAACTGTTCTGCAAAAAAGCCACAGTTACAGTCGAGCAGCTAATTTATTTTTTATTTTCACTTCACTTTACTTATGTACAGCATACTTATCGAGTGAGAAATAAACAAACACAAGCTCGTGCAGCCTTGACCCAGTTTTTGTGTAATCCACTCGCCTGTTACTTCTCCCCCATCGCCCACACCAACCACAGCATAAAAAAAAATCGACGCAAAAACGCGTTCCTCTTTCTTCATTTTCGCACCGAATGCGCCCGCTCGTGCATCAAGTCGCACGCCAAAAAATAAACGTCCCCATTTTCGCGCAACTTTACGAAGCAATGTACGTGACCTGTTTTCCGCAACAGTTACCAACTCCAAATGTGTACGCGGGGACCTACCACCACAACCTCCGCTGCAGTCTAAGTTTGTAAACACCCGGAGTGTTGTTTACGCTTCACGAATTAAATCACCCTAAAAGGATATAAAAGGGAAGGTGAGTCCAAATGCGCTCTAAGACGTTTACTTTTCTTTCCATTACTGTTTCATACAACTTCGAACTGTAAGAGTGTCGCAGTGTCGAAACGCGACTACGATGCGGTCGCGCCGTTAAAGAGTCAGCGAAGCATCGCGTCTGACCTTTACACACGTTTTTGCGCGGGTCCGCCCCACTGCGTCAGTTGTTGAGAAAAGCGCACCGCACTATCGCCTCGTCCCCTTCGACAAAGGAGAAAATCACCGTGTTTTTAAGCAACCCATCAAGTACATGAAAACGAGGAGGGTGAGGTACGAGAGAGGAGGAGAGAAAGAGAAAATACTGAAAGCCCGGAGACAAAGCCGAAGAGAGCTAGCTTCCCGGGGCGAAGAGACTTACTTCGTCGAGCGCTGTCATCTGCTGCTCGGTGAGGTCTCCTACGCGGCCGCTCATCGTGGAATGCGAAGAACGACGTGGCTCACGACGACGCCAACGGAAAGAACAGGACCTCGGGACTGGCGTCTCTCTGTCGCCAATGGGATCGTGCCTCACCACGTGCGAAGTCGCAAAAAACGCCGGTTCGACGTGTAACGACCCGGTGGGCTGCACTACGACACCATTGCGACGGCTCCGCTTGCCCGCTTCGGAGAGTGCAGCGCGAGAGACTGAACACAAACGCACGCACGGGTTCGGGCCCCGACAAACACGAACGCGCAAGGAACCGCAGAGGGGAGCGGCGAGAATAAGTGCAGGCCTTCAATACGCATGCGTGAGCTAAGCCAGCGCCTCTCGCGGACGGAGGCGGCGAAAGAGCAGATGAAAGTGGAACAACTGTTGTTTCGGCGTAGAGCATGGACAACCGCCGACAGCGTTGACTACGGAAGGAAATAGATCAGTGCACCAAAATGTTACAAGCACATGTATCCGAATCACATGTTACACACACATGAATTGGGTGCTACAGGTACTTGATTCCAGGAAAAAGTCCGTAATACACGAATCACAGGCTGGACCCTTGACAGTGTTGCGTGAATATTGGTTAGGCAAATAGACTGCGTAAACAATATTAGAACTACCTATATCTGACTTGAGACATAACTACTTTGCACAAAAAAAAAAGGAAATAGTTAAGGAAAAAGTTAGGACTGAGTTGAGCTGTACATTTATTGATAATCCACTTGGAGAAATACAAACAATTCTCAAGATTCGCAGAAACCTGCGCAAGAAGGGCAAAAAATTCTCCTAAAACATATAATATAGTTGCCCTTAATCTGTCAAACTCTTCAACCTACGCATGCCAAATTTAAGTAAATAGTTGAGCGCACCAATTTCTTTCAGATAATGAGCTTTTTTTTTATGAGAGCAAGCGACGGGCTACCTACACACAACTCCCCATCTGTCATGCAATATGCATCAAGTATTTAGGTGTGAAAGCTTCCGTAGCTACCTATATTTCACGATGTTAATCTATCTAATTCTTTCTTACGACATGCTTGCTCGAGTCTTGTAAACCTATAAACTGCGCTGAAAGGGTTAGGAAATTTTTGGTGAAAACATTCGTGATCGGCATATTTTGAGAGACACAACTTTGAAAAAAAAATCGCTGTGAAAGAGCACAGTTTTTAAGCGAATCATTCCTATTCATTAAGTATCTTTCTACAGAATAGGATTTCCGGCGAAAGCCAAACATCTTGCGTTTCGTTGCTTCATTTGGAAATGTTGTTCAATTTATTGCAGTTGTTATGGAGCAGACAGAAATCACAAGATTCTCAGACATCGTCAACTTAAACATCTAAAAATTTATTATGGTGGGGGCGCTCCCTTTTCGCCAATGCAGTTGTTATGAAGCAGACAGAAATCACAAGATTCTCAGACATCGTCACTTAAAAATCTAAAAATTTATTATGGTGTGGGCGCTCCCTTTTCGCCAAAGACAGCTTTTTGTTTTTGCACTTGAAGACTTCAAGGACAACCGAAAAGAATAAAGGCGACGCGGTCGAAGCCGGAGCTATATTTAGAACAAGTGAAACCCTTTCGCTCCTCGCATGGGGCTAATTTTGGGTACACGTTCATACTCGCATTCGATTTTTTCTACTTCAATAAAACAACAATTTACTCGTCAAGAACTCGCGATGGCTTAGCTGCTCAGCAATACTTAGTTTTACCTTACGTGCCTATGTAAGAGTAGAAATATGCTGTACTCACTGTATTTAAGAGACAGAACAATTTGAATCGCAGGTTTCATGTGGAGTGAAGTCATTTACTGATTTATTTTTACAACGATATTATTGCGGGAGACCTGGAGAAAATCTGATCAATCAGCAAGAATATTTGAAGTCAACGTTTTTAAAGCTATCGCTAAATTGTCTTTAAAACAATTTGTGGCTTGGCTAAAAGACTATTTCCTCAGCCGTTATTCATCCGAGCGTTCTTTGTGTAGTAATCCTGAAAATGAAATTCGTTCTATTTAACCAGTGGCCAAGATTTATACGATTTCCCTAAGCAGGGCAACGACTGTCGCATTTCGATTCCCTGCTACAGCTTTTGCCCAGCATCATTATCTTTAAACATAACGACATTTAATAGAAAACAACCTTTTTTTGTGCGAGTGCAAGAAGAATTTTACTGTACTGTGGCGCCATCTACTCTCTCTTCCGCGAAACGGCCAGTAGTCTAGAGCGCGGGGTTATTTGACTGCAGTTTATAAATGACGCGGTCTGAAAGCGAAGTATATTAACAAAAGTTCCCGTAACAACTACCTATATACATAATATACGTATCTCTATCGCGTGTTTTCTATTTGGTGAGAAAGTTACACCAAATTATAGACAATATTAATCTAGTGTTCCGTATAGGGAAGGTTTTACTTCCTCTTGTTTCTCTTCTTCTCTATGCTAGCTTGTCCGAATGAAAACCAGCTTTACAGGAACCATTCTTACCCGGCATATTGAGGCTTGTGCTCCTGCTGGCTGACTCTTCTATACTTGTATTGTGTGCTGCAGCTCTCGCTGCGCATGAAGTCATCGTGCCGGATTTATACGGCTGCTTTTTGACCACATCGAGACCAACAAGACGCCCACCCGTCACTTCGACTGAACTTTCTTTCGTGCCGGGGCTCCGCGCTCAGCCGAGGGCTTTTCGCTCCCGTCTTTCCAACGCGCCAATTAGGCCCATCATACTTCTTCGGCGAATATTTTTCCCGGCCTTTTCGGTGAATTTTTCGAACGGTTCCGGATTGCGTTGCTTTGTGCGCATGCCGAGAGAGGCGGAACGAATGATTCCCACTTAATTTTTTTTCTCTTTCCTCTTAATCTTTATTGCTCCTCTTATGCCCCATTACCCCATCCCCTTTGTCGTGTTCTCGAGGTGTCCTCGTATGCGCGAGAGACAGTTACGATGCAGAACATTTCTCTTCTTTTTCTCACTCAAAACCACTTCGTGCATATGGCAACATCGGTGACAGCTAATTGTTGTTTGAGTGGTCTGTTATATCCTGCTTGCTTAATTTTTTTTTACAATTTATTCATTTTTCACGTACAACAGAGAAGAATGAAATAGCCTAGATATTGGCTACATGGTCTCTCCCCCGCGAGTCACTTTTATATAGAAGCAGAAGTGTGTCTGTTATCATGTAGCGCAGATGACACCTTGTTTGATGTTCTGCAGGAGACCTCTCGACTCGGCTGTTTGCCACAAGGCAGGCGAAGCAGAAGAAAGCACCAACGGGACTTAGCAAAACAGTAAGTATGTATGTATGTATGTATGTATGTATGTATGTATGTATGTATGTATGTATGTATGTATGTATGTATGTATGTATGTATGTATGTATGTATGTATGTATGTATGTATGTATGTATGTATGTATGTATGTATGTATGTATGTATGTATGTATGTATGTATGTATGTATGTATGTATGTATGTATGTATGTATGTATGTATGTATGTAAGACATCCTAGAAGCAGTGATTGGTACAAACGGGTGAGTTTCGCATGAAATGTGCGTGTTTCTTTTTGTTTTGTGCGCCATGAATCTAGGTGTTTGCAAAATTTTCTGAGTTTCAGTCCAGCGACGTGACGTTCGGAGCTATGACAGCCCGGAACCAGTATGAAATGTTTGCGTTGTATGACGTATTTTTTTCACAATTGATTTTAAGGCTCGAAAAGACACAATAATAAGAAAGGACACGGGAGAGAGCACCAACTCACCCAGCAAAAGTTCTCTTAAGACGTGTTTTGTGTTGCCTTAGGAGAACCATTTCGTTTTCCTTTTTTTTTTCGGCCTAGAAGGAACTGTTGGAGCAGCTAGCTTCTTCGACATACGTATCTCCTCAAAATTTGTGTCTACTAACAAAGGCCGCGTACAGTACGACATGCCCCATTTATTCTGCACTATATTCGCTTGTCTCCGTGTTTTCAACATGCCAGGAGATATGTCCAGTGGCTCCGTGTTGGCGCAGGTTTGTCACTTGAGTAATGAGGGCGTCAATGGCGTCTAGAGCGGAACCAGTGAGCTGTTACTGTGCCATAAAAGCTCCCTCCGGGTGACCTACAGCAGGATCACGACGTCTGCTAAACCTGTAATAACGGGAGTTAGCATTATGTTCAGTGACTACTACTACTACTACTACTACTACTACTACTACTACTACTACTACTACTACTACTACTACTACTAATATTACTACTGTGATGATATTACACTGCTGCTTTTTCTAGAATTTTTTAAGCTTATTAATCTTACATTGCTTCAGTCTTCAAAGGCGAGTGTCATGCAATTTTCTCCGTCCACAAAAAGACTAGCAAGCTGTTCATAAGAAAATAGCCGCTTCTTGTCAAGAGCTCTCTCTTTCTAAAATTTCATTGGCTTTAAGAAGACACAGCTACATCGACAGCCTACATTTTTAAGGGCTTTTAAACTTCTATTTTCGCCTACTTTAACCGTGTATTTCATAACAGCGTGCTTGTTCTATACCTACAATAAATTGGCGCTTATTCTAATTTCAGAAGGCGGCTCTACTATTCGGTACAGTACTTTATGATCTGAGAACACTACTGAGCAGCACGGCGGCATTCGAAATCTGGGAGCAGAAAAAAAAAACAAAACACGCCAGGCCTGCGCGGTAGGCGCAGTACAGTCACAGCGAAAGCTAAAAGAGCGGCCTTTCTGAGCCTTTTCAAAACACCCATTAGGTAACTACTGCGAGCACACTTATTTTTAATAATACACTTTTGGGTAGTAGGCCGGCATTCGCTATGCTGTTTTTCGTCATTCTTTTGAGAAGCGTGGTATCCGCTAAACGCTTGCAAGGAATTTTGTGCCAATAGTTCATGCAGTGGCTGACGACAATGAGGAATTATGGCTAAAGTAGGTATGCGCCACAGTTCACAGGGAAACAAGAACAAGCTTTTGTGATGATTTGGAGTATTGGACGGCCCACTCGTTAAGCTATTCGCATTGTGCGATGACTGGTTGTTCTTTCGCTCTTGTAGAACGCTTGAGAAGTCATATTAACGCGATTGCTTTCCCGACATCAAGCCTGTCTGAGGAAAATTTTACGACAGGTCACAAGCACTGGTATAGCTCAGTGTTAGAATACTGGGCTGGCACCCAGCGGACCCTGGTTCGAGCCTCACTGTGCCATTGGTGCTAGCTTATGCCTGCCTTAGGCAAACTTGACAAGTTATAAGCACCGACATAACTCAGTGGTAGAATATTGGGTATGCACGCAGCGGACCCGGGTTCAAGCCCCACTGTGTCATTGGTTATTTTTCGCGCAATGTGGTTACGGACACCGGCGGCGGCGGCGGATAGCAACTGCGCGGGACCCAAAAAGTGATCTCATAACAGCTTTAGCTTTAAAAAAATATCACAAATATCCTATAGGCCATACCTAGGATGAACCTTGTTCTTGGTCGCATGCCAGGTTCCAAAGCATGCCTGAAAAAGTTAGAGAAATCCCGAGTCAGAGGGTGAAAATATTATTAAGTGCAATTGTCTAACGTAGTAAAGGAGTTGAGAAATAGGTAGCGTCCTGTATTATAACCTGTCTCACCTCAACCTTGTTAGCGATTTCTAGGTAGTTCTCTTTGCTCCTTGCAGCGAACGCCTTCAACACCTGCGAAAAAATGAAAAAGAAAAAGAAACGGCATTTTATGCAAACACGTAGTGGCTCTTTGCTACAAAACAACAATTTTATGGTCAGAGCCTCAAGTGTCGAATTAAACGGGAAATTTTACCGTCGGCGGCCACCCTCCCGGGTCGGCGCGGACGAATAATGCGAAAATTTATCATCAAGTGAAAACCACCACACGATTACGAGATACGCAGAAGTGGAGGGCTCCGGAAATTTTGACCACCTGGGGTTCCTCAACGTGCATTCAAATCTGAGCACACGGGCCTACAACATTTTCGCTTCCATCGAAAATGCAGCCGCCGCATCCGGCATTCGATCCTGCGACCTGCGGGTCAGGAGCAGAGTACCTTAGCTACTAGACCACTGTGGCGGGGCATGCGTGGTAATCTTTACAAGGTGCAATGACACTTTTGTTGGTCTGGCTTCCACTACAATTATTGAACATCTTACCTCTTCTTTGTTTTCTTCGTAGTTGTAAATGCACTCGTACGTCTGTATAATCTGACAAAGAGAGAAAGACAGAAAAACAAAGAATTGTAAACGTCCACAACAAAATCTAAGTAACAACTAGATGAGTTGGAGGTGTGCAAGTAATGGAAAGCTACGAAAGAGCAAATAACAGCCATAGAAATAAGCAGAGTCACAACCATAATGTAGTATACAAATGCGTCGGCAATAGTGTAACTCAAACCGATGTTTGGCGCACTGAGAACTGGCTGGTATATTAAAGCCAAATGCTTCTCTCCTTGCAAGGTATGATTAAGTATCTCATTTTTGTTCTTTCCACATGCAATTACTTCCCCTTACATCCAGCGAGTCGGTCTTAATGTACATGCAATGCTGCCACTACACGTTGACCGTACTGACTTACGCGATAAAAAATCAATACCTAAACACCTACCAGTGACAGATAAGCCTAATTTTATGTCATTTTTTTGAAGACCTTCCTAAAAGCCGTACGTTAAATAAGGAGTGGCGAAGACGCAAGGAACAAAATATGATTGACTGTCTCTAAACAAACAAGTGGTGATTAACGGCAGATAAAAAACAAATATCAGTCAATTATCACGTTGATGTGCAGGAAAAAGTCCTTACAGTCAATGACCTTTCGACCTGACTTGTTTATTACAGCAAATACATTGTACACGTATTCACTTTTACTGACAGTATTTTCCAGGCCTGGTTTCTTGAGGCAGTTTTAACTTGTACTCTTTTATATCTTTTACTGTGATCATGCTTTCACAATCAAGATTTTTTATACACATGATGCGACTATCCTTTTTTGTTTACTCTTGCCAAACCATGTGCTATGCATGTGCACTTATATGAATGGATGAGCAAATGAATGTTAACACTTAAAAAAAAAACTTCGCGTCTCAGTATACTCACCGATGAAGCTGGCACGCAGCCGAACTCCGGAATTTTACTGAGAGCTCGCATAGCCAAGCAGCCAGTGGCAAGTACTTTGACTCGGTCAGTAGACGGCTTGGGCAACTGAAGACATGGCAAGGAAAGCAGATAGCGGAACGAGAAGAGCCATTAACGAAATACTATTCTGCCCTACACCCACTCGGTGGCATGCGAAATAAATACTAAAACATTAAATGTTTTTGTCTACTTTTTCTTGGGACAAGTGTCATAATTTGCAGTGAGTTTAACGAAACTGAGCAGCACATGGTAGTAGTACACGTGTTTTGTCTTTATCAACTGTAATAAAAGTGAACAACGACATTAGACGACATTAGCCAATGATACCGGCCTGATGAACTCTGTCAGCGGTTTTTGTTAACTATTGGTGTGGATGCCATTCGCTAGCAGTTCAAAAACAATATCACGATACCTTCAAAATTGTAAGTTTGCTAGTGTACATTCCGCCCATATTATTATTTTTTGTGACGCTTTATGTGTCTTACTTTGCACCACTTAAGGCTTTCTTCGTAACTTCAGCTGAGCGTTTTTGTTTCTTTGCATGTGGAGCAAGAAGCAGTGCGAAGAAATTCATGCTTACTTCTTGTACGTAACTTCGCATTAGGACTTCACGTTGTGACCTTCAATGAGAGAGCCTTGCGTTAAAAAATATAAACGATAAAACCAATGACTAAAGATGCCGATGATGACCCACCCCACCCAAACAAGTCAATACAGGGTCAGACTTTGCGCCCCCTACCCCCTGGCCTCTCCATGCGCTAGCATATGCTCTCCCCTTCTAGTCTATTCTTTGCAGAACAATCGGCACGGCAATATGTGTACTCACGGGAATGGGAACGGCTTCCTCCAGCTGTACTTGAAGGCTGTTGAACAAGTTGTGGATGCACTTCCGGGGCCCGGTACCGACTGCGTCAGCGTTCGCGTAAGCGTGACGTTAGAGATGCGAACGCAATGTGGAACTACGAAACTATAACAGGTCTGATTTGCACTCCTCGACAACACTACGGTCCATTGGTTTGAAATACTTACAAAAAATAAATAAATAAATAAATAAAACACTGGCAAAGCTTGCGCACGGCTGCACAATGCTTGAAACTGCGAAACTGGAGAATTTGGAAAAACTGAATTGACTGCTTCTAGGTTGGCCTCATTAGATATGTGACTCCTTATATATGTGATGCGAGTTGTTTACGGGTTGCTTCTATGCCTTTGCTGGGCTTGAGATAACTGATGTCAATTTTTTTCTACGTTTACCCCCAGCGTACAGAAGTTTCATTCAAACCACCAAACACGTATTTACCTACTACAGAGCCAGAAACTTGTGCCGAAAACAAGCTTTCGCAGCTCTCATGGTTCTGCGAGAACGTCGTCGTTGGCACGGGGCTTCCATCTCTTCGAGGTCTGCTCGCAGCCGTCGTTGTATTTGCCGTTGTTCCCCGGTATTCCCTCGTTACACTTTATCGGCTCTCTCCAGCCCACCGTGGTCCATTCGCGGCCATAACTGTCGCGTTCATCATTTTTTGTGTACCGGGGGTGAGTGGAAGTATTGAACAAATTTCGGTGGCACATAGCCCTCTATGATGGTGACAGTTTTCCAATGGGCCACAACGGCACGTATACTCATTAGGACGATGACAGCTTTTCTAACAGGTCGCACAAACCACGACTTACTTAAACAGCTTCGTTTTACAATAAATAAGTAAATAAATGAATGAATAAATAAATAAATGCAATAAATAAATAAATATATAAATAAATAAATAAATAAACTTGAAATGGAATATTGTTGTGGACGCGGCGGGTGCACAGAAACAACCGCGCACGTTCTCCGACAGTACCACCATTTTAACAAGCATTTCAGCTAAATGACAGGCCTCAAAGCGGCTATAGACCAGCAGGAGAACCGCACACCCGCATAAATAGAAACACCCACGGGAACGGGCCATACAGGCGTCAACATGAGCCACTGCGATTGCGTTGTCGCGGCCTCAAAGAAAAATACGGAATGAATTCAATGGAAGATTCGGACCGAGAATTGACAATGTTTTTTCGTCAATTTATCAGACATCGTCTTAAAGACCTGTGGTGTCGTCACATGTAGACTCTTTTCTTTCATTCTTCTACACTCCGTTTTCCTTCCCCCAGGTACAGGGTAGATCTCCTCTTGTTGACCTTGCGGCCCTTCCCTCACCTCTGCCTCTTAAGGTTCATGGTTTGAGCTTCAGAATGATTGCCATCATGGCATGAACGCCCCCCGCTCCTGGTGGAGCAGATCATACGAAGCATGTGTGCCATGCGTCCTATAATTGCAAGTGCAGCCCGCACAATCGCACAACGAAGTCGTTTGACGGGTGATATAACAACGCTCACTCATGCATGGCACATGTCTCAGAAGAATATGGTGGTTGGAATTTTCGCGTTTTGTTTTCTGTTTCGCAGCTGAATTTGATTGCATTTCCTTTGTAAATATTAGTAGTGGCCGCTTTTTCAAAATCTCTAAGCCGCAATAGATTCTTCTCGAAAAAGACTTCAATATTCCCATTTTATATAACTGCGTAACTCCCCTAATTAGAAAAATAATGGAACTTTCTCAATTATCCTCCTAAATAATGTGTTTAGCCATCTCAAGATGCCTGCGGCTACAGATGAAGTATGTGTGAAGGCATGGAAGGAATATAAGATTTTCCTGAGTTTTGAGAACTTTGTAAATCTTCATTGAAATACCCTGAAAACACACTCATACGAACCCGCGCATGACCATTCATAAAGTAATATGGAACTGAACATCTCCCTCCCCCCTTCCCTTTCTTCTTGCAAAACTTTTTGGCGACACTACTGGCTCCAGTAAAATACTGAGGAGTGCGAAGCGTTCTCAAGAGTGCATATTCAGACAAATCACGCGCATTAGACATAATTTCGCGTTTCTGCGCGTGATAGAATGCCGCTCCTTTTACGTGTACCTGAATGGTGAAATGGCGCCTGCGTCTCAGTTGAGCTCCGCTACCAGGTCGGCAAAAAATAGTGAAGCTCATCCAGACTGAATGAAGAACTATATTTTGCTCCGAGAGCTCACTCGAACTCACTCACAGAAATTTTACTCAGCCAGACTCACTCATACTCACACTCGCTAAAATTTTCGCTAGTCGGTGCTCTACGATATGTATTTTGATATTGCCACGTTCCTTTTCTCTAAGTTTTGTTATCGGCCCGTTACACAACGTATCCTCAGCGCGAACCGTGCCCGCAGTCTTAGAGAAGCTTCAAACTGTAGTAGATCATTTCGATAAGATCACGCCCACTCCGCGAACTATTCAGATATTTCTGGAAGCAACGTCACCGCTAGCGATAACGCTAGAACATTCGATGGCAATGCCGACGCGCTTCGCCGCCTGTCAGTTGATCGACGGCCGACACCCTGTTCGCCGTAATCAGTGCCAGTGTGTATCGCTTTAATCTTACTTTTCATTTGTTGGCCACAAGTTCGGCCCGAATAAAGAGTTTCATCTGATAAGCCAGCCTGCTGCCTTGGTTCATGTCACGACCTCATGACAATATATGATAACCCTCAAGCTCGGGTTATCAGTGGTTGTGATGCATTAAGGGCATTTTTAAAAAGTAATCTACTGAAAGGAGGTATTTTAATTCAGAACGTCCCGTGAAGAAGTTTTCGAGGAGAAGTCATGGCACCCTACTCTTAATTACGCCTGTGACCAATACACATTGGGGTGGGGCATGAACGCTAATGCGTTGACGCATGTATAAATATGTTTGAGTATAAACGTAAGCCGATATAAGGATGCAAGTTGTGCTGATAGGTAAGTAGATAAGAACATAGGTTAGCAATTAAAAGGTGGAGCTCACTCAGGCTCACTGAAGAAATACATTTTGCACTTCGTAGTCACTCGGACTGAGACTCATCGATAGTACCTAAACCGGACTCTGCCAAACTCAGAATCCCAATTTGTTTTTTTTTATTTGAACTCACTCGAACTCAAGCTCACCAAAAAAAAATATTACTCACCAGGACTGACCCAGACTCAGACTCACAGATCAATCTGAGTCTAAGTGAGGGAG